CGAAAGATACATACTCGCCTAAGCGATCATGTATCTTTCACGCATGGCACATAACTGACTAAATTGGAGGCATTTAAAAAGTTTTAAATAAGATGTTGCCAACTTTTAACGGTTGACAACCGGGGAAACCATTACCATCTCAACGTCCTGCATGAATACGACAAATAAAAGTTATTTTATTCTAAATATGTAGTCTGACACAAAAACGTAAATTTTATCTCTGAATAATAAATGATTAAAAACGCAAATCTTCCCCAATTATCCCCATAAACTGTTCTTCTTAATCTTTAACAATAACACTCTACCTCGACTGGCTCTTGAGTTATGTGCGTGGGTGAACATCATTGTAAAAAAACAAAAACTGAATTTGAAAATTACTAGACATGAAATTCATTTTATTAAAGATGTATCATGTGTTGAAATATTAACCCGAATCAACAAAGCTTTCCTACTGGACAACATTTTTTTTTTAATTTGATCTTTGACCTAGTCTTATCTCTGAAAAATCACGGTAGAAGGGAGTGGGTGGCCCGGTTCGTAAGGGTTGTGGATCTAAAAACAAATGGAAATGTCACCTTCACGCCGCACTTAAATATTTTGTCAGATAGTTGAGTTTATTTCACTTTTAGTTTTCATTCATCTTTATCGTCATACCTCTAAAAATTAGATTGACAGAACTATTCAAACTTAGATCATATTCTGACGCCGTTCTCCATATTTTATTGCTTTTATAGAATACTGTCTAATTTTAGCGTCTTTGCGAATATGTTCCTTCAGTTATAACTCTTTTTAACTTCATTATTATTTCTTCTTTCAGAAAGATAAAAATGTGTCAATATTTTGAAAAACCATTTAATGTAAATATTGAACTGATTTCTAAGATCAGCTTAAAGGTTTTGATAGTAAACGTTAGAACATCATATTTCCTTTTAAACTCAAAACAAGAAAGATAAACTTTATTAGTGCAATTACGCGGAGCAGGGTTTACTTCGATTTGATTGGTTCGTTTTCTACGGCTTATCAACCCTTTTGCAGGTTATTTAAAGCCAGAAAATATTTTTAGAATTTACATTGTAAGAATCTTTTTTAGATAATATTAGTTTTTTTAGTGATACAAGTCTTACTAATTAGCCGATAGCTAGGGGAAGAAAAGGTGGATTCATACCTTCCACAAAGGCATTTACGTGTCAGTGAATAGAACGAACCTAACGGAAATTGGAACTCGGCTGTCCGATTAACAATTCCAAGCCATTATCTATTATACCACCCGCACATCTAAGTTTATAGCACCTGGTATTCCCAAGCGGTCACCCAACCAGGCTCCGGTGATAAGGGAACCTGTGTTTCAATGTGATTTGGCCGTAGTCCCATTATACCATCCACGAATTTAGGTAAAAATGGCAGCGGTAAAAATGGCAACCGTAAAAATGGCAAAAGTGGATAAATAGGTAAAAATGGCAACGGTAAAAATGGCAAAAATGGATAAATAAGAAAAAATGGCAAAAGGAAAAAAAATATAGATGAATACCTCACAATGAGTTTATTAAAATCTTGGATACAATACATAATGGAAAAACATGAGAGAAGTTTGTCAAATTAAAAAGAATATTCAGTTAAAGCTCCCCACTCCCATGAGATTTTACTTTTTAGGCGATTACGTCTGAACACACTGGAAAACTTGGGAAAAAACAATTATAGGTCCACTTGATGAAATCGGGAAAAAACAACAAGAAAAAAAAAAGCAATAAAACATTAATTATTTCAGAGGTTATCAGACAACGACAGGGTCAGTAAAATTGAAAATCATGTCTGATGCGTTTTCAATCTTTTAATACTCAAGTGTGAAGTCTCTGAGAAGCGTCATATCGACATTTAGCAAATAGGTGTGAACAGAAATTCAAAAGGTTTGCTGAGGGAATTGGCTAAGTGAACTGTAGGATATTTACTTCGTTTACCATGATTTACCAATAAAATACTTAAATTAGACTCTGAGAGTCAATACGAAATCTGTGAATGGGATTCCTAACCTTCGCCTTTGCGATTTTGCTGATTCGATTCCGATTAATCGTCCCAACACTAAATATATATATATATATATATATATATATATATATATATATATATATAATATACACACACACTTATTTACTATTTATCCACTTTTGCCATTTTTACCCCTGCCATTTTTACCGAGCACCATTATTACTATGACGTTTAATAGATTTAAATTTTGTTACATTTCTATTTATAAAAAAAACTATTAGACTATTTAAAAAATAGAATAAAGTATTTAAAAATGTTTTTAATATAAACTATTTAAAAAGTATTTTCACACAAAAAGAAAACATTCCAATTATAAAAAATAATAAATAAACTAATTAAAAATTATTTTCCAAAGAAAACATTCCTATTATAAAAAGTTTTATTTGATTATTTGTAAGAAAAAACATTCCAATTAAAAAAAAAAGTTTTATTTGAATGGGATTCCTAACCTTCCTTTTTCAAGTGATTTTTCCGGTTCCCCGATTCTGATTAATCGTCCCAACACTAATATATATATATATATATATATATATATATATATATATATATATACACAGTATATATATATATATATATATATATATATATATATATATATATATATATAATATATATATATATATATATATATATATATATATATATATATATATATATATATATATCTTACATATATATATATATACACTAATTATATTTTATATATATATATATATACACAGTAATATATATATATATATATATATATACACTAATACACTTATTTTATATATATATATATATATATATATATATATATATATACACAGTAATACTCTTTTATATATATATATATATACACTAATACACTTATTTTTTTATATATATATATATATATATATATATATATATACACAGTAATACTCTTATATATATATATATATATATATATTTATTTTATATATATATATATATACTAATACACTTATTTTATATATATATACACTATACACTTATTTTATATATATATATATATATATATATATATATATATATATATATATATGTATATATCCTAATGTCAGCTATCAATTATAAAATTAATTATAGTCATCAAATTCACTTAAACACGCTACGATTTGTGCTTTTATTGCAATTAGGAGTATGAACCTAGCGATAAAACTTCTAAAAATCGACATCGAAAATTTAAAAAAAATGTTTTTAATACTAAGAGCGGGAACTTAGCCCCTATTTAAAACAAGAGGAGAAGGAACCTAGCTCCCTCGCCCCACTAGAGTAAATATCTATTTAAAAATATTTATTTTAAAGTATTGAGTGGTGGTGGTGGTGGGGGGAACTTAGCCCTTTTTTAAACTAGAAGGATGGGAGCTTAGACCCATCCTTCTCGAACGGTCATAATTTTCTGTTGTCGAATTGCCATTTTTCCTATTTATCAACTTTTGCCATTTTTACCGTTGCCATTTTTACCCTGACATTTTTTCCGCTGCCATTTTTACCGAGCACCATATATATATATATATATATATATATATATATATATATTGTATATATATATATGTTCCTCCATTAGGTCACGTAAAAAAACGCAGCATATCACGATTAAAAAGGCTCATAAATCAACAAAAACAAAGTTTTGTCTCAATATGTTGTTATTAAGTGAAAGCTAAAGCATTAAATTTATTACTTACAGTAAGTAACATATTCTGTCGTCTTTCAGACAGAAATTATATAGATTGGAATGTCAAATATATGCTCGATTTTTGTTTAATTTTCTTAAAAGCGGCCATTTTCTTAAATTTTAAGAAATTTGTAAACAAACAAAATTTTGATTTTAAACTTCTTCCTAAAATAAATTTATATATTTTTGACACGTTATTTGAGTAAAATTAGAAAATTTAAATTAATCTGATATGAAACAAACAGTACTTATAGCATAAAAATTTGTATCCAAACATTTCTTAACGATGTGTCTGAATTTATCAAAGAAATCGATTGTGACGAGGTGATGACAGATTACTATGGATGATCAAAATTGACAATTTTTGCAAAGTAAGCGAGCGAACGCGGTTTTTCGTTTTTAACTAGTATTTTTTAAATATTAACATTTTTATTCGGCAATTAATATCTATTTTTTATTTCATACTTTCTTAATTAGATAATAGTTTAAATTTTTATTAATTAGATAATTGTTTAAAAATTTTTAAGGATTATGTCATGTATACATTTCCATACGTAGAAATTATGAACGATTTTTTTCAATAAAATTTTTTTTAAAATTATTTTTAAAATATTTTGGGTCAAACGACTGTTATGTGCTTTTCAAATTTCGATTCGCAAATTTACTTTTTCATTAACGTTATCATTGCATTACGTGCTTGAAAGCAATAAAGAATTTTAAACGATTTTTGAAGTATTAAGAAGTTAATGAAATATATATACACATCTAATTCTAATGTCAGCTATCAATTATAAAATTAATTATAGTCATCAAATTCACTTAAACACGCTACGATTTGTGCTTTTACTGCAATTAGGAGTAGGAACCTAGCGCCCCCCACAAATAAAACTTCTAAAAATCGACATCGAAAATTTTTAAAAAATGTTTTTAATACTAAGAGCGGGAACTTAGCCCCTATTTAAAACAAGAGGAGAAGGAACCTAGCTCCCCCCCACTAGAGTAAATATCTATTTAAAAATATTTATTTTAAAATGTTGAGGTGAGGGGGGGACTTAGCCCTATTTTAAACTAGAGGGATGGGAGCTTAGACCCATCCTTCTCGAACGGTAATAATTTTCTGTTGTCGAATTGCCATTTTTTCCTATTTATCCACTTTTGCCATTTTTTCCTATTTATCCACTTTTGCCATTTTTACCGTTGCCATTTTTACCCTCCATTTTTTCTGCTGCCATTTTTACCGCTGCCATTTTTACCGAGCACCACCATCCACACATCCAAGCTTACAGTACCTTGTATACTTAAGCGGTCACCCATCTAGGTATTGACCAGGCTCGATGTTACTTAATTTCGGAGATCGTACGAGAACAGGTGTTTCAACATGATGTAGACGTAAGCCCGAAGTTTTTAAATATTTGATAATGATCGGTGAATAATTGTTGAAACAATAACTGTAGCGGTCACTGTTACTTGATAATCTTATATCTAAAACAGAAATAAAAGAAATAACCAGATGAAAGATAGATTTAATTCCTGTCGGTCGCTTCAACATAGACCCTGTGTAGCGAGTGAAGAGGTTACTAGTATATTTGGTCCGAGTTTGTGGAGTATACATGATCAAAATGTGTGGGCTACTTTATATTGTGCAATATAGTAGTCGGTTAATATTAATACTTTATTTTGAACTATTGTTCTAAACTCACTTTTCACGTTCCAGCCAAGCACCAATTATTTATCTGCACATTATTGTTATTTTGTCTCTGTGATACCAGTTTGTTTCGTTGAAATAGTGCTTCACTACCTGACCTAAGGATTGCCACTACACCACCGTCTCGAAGGACATCAGTTGTGTATTTTTCGAGCTTTGATATTCAACGTCAGTTGGTTTTTGATATTTGGTTTTCATGTCGAGTTCGTACCAGTTTCGGTAATTTTGTATTTCATAGGCTAAGTAGAGAAAACTGAATGCACCTAGCGGCACTAACCAGACATAGGGCTAGATTTTGTGAAGATATAAGGAAATCTGAATATGAACCAAGCTGTAATCATGAAATATTTATTACTTTCTGAAAGGCAGAAAACTACAAAAGCGAAGACGATCATAATAATTTAAGTTCTCACTAAAGTTTGCCAAGCGTTTGAAGTCATGTTAAGATTAAATTGCATGTGCGTTGATGAATCGTTGAATAGTGAATATATGAATTGCTACTTTATTATTTTCGGAGTTTGTTGAATACCGTTGATATATGTGTGAGTAATCAGTAATGAGAATGTGAATGGAATGTGGAAACCTGTTAACCTTATGAATCATCGTTAATATTGATAAGCTGGTCGAATGTTTAGTTTTTATACTGTTAAGAGAGTGTATATAGACCAGAAGTGCATGCTCCTACTATCAAAACTCAAATGACTAAACCGATCACCTTCCCTTAAATACGGAATAAAAAGGATTGCGAGGAATCCTACCAAAAAAACGACAAATAAAAGACGAGACTCGATCAATCAAAATACAACAGAGCATACTGTTTTTAACCAATCAAAACTAAGAAAAGAATCTTAAAAAAAAAAAAAAGAACGCCATCTTTATAGGGAAGAAAGTGTAATCTAATCAATCAAATTATGACGGAATGCTATTTTACAACCACTTATATATTAGAGAAAAGAGTACTTATATTTTTCGACCAATTAAACCAGAGATCCGAATCTCGACAAATCCATCTTTGGGAAGCATAACTTTTACTTTAGTTCACACAATACAAGGCATAAGCGCCACTAAAGGCAGAGGTTACTGAATGGGATTGCTGAAAGGGAGGGGAAAGAAGGGAGTAAGAAGTGCATATGAAAATTTGTAAGATAGATATCGGTTAACGCTGGATTTAAAGAGGTTAAGATTGTAGTGTTGGGAAAAGCATCCTCTCGGGAGCTTGTTCTACTAAATAACAGTTTAGGGAAGAAACTCATCCTCATTCTCTTCGTATTCTTTAGATAAGAAATACAAATGGAATGAGGATTATTTTACATCGAGTACGTGGCATGGCGAGTCCTAACTGTGAACGTCTGAGCCGGTGGGAGTTAGATCTTTTACCATATTAATAGCGATAGAGTAGCGACGTTTCATCTTTGGGGTAGGGGTTGCGGGATTGAAAATAATTCATCACCGACAAGGCTGCGTAATTACTTTTGAATTCTGCCAAGACTGGACAGTGAGGACGGTGCAACACCAGTCCAGATATGGCAGTAATATTCCATTCTTCCGTAACGGGTGTCTACATTACTCGCTTTCGCACATCTTTTCCATCTTCTCTTCTTCTCCCATATATATGAAGAACTTTTTGCACATGAAACTCGTATGAACTTTCCATGAATTGTTAAACTCTTTATCAAGAACGTTTTGTTCATGATATACGTAACATTTATTCTAAATTGTCATCTTAGAATTGCATCTTTATATTTTAAATGTATTGCGTAACATTCTTTTGTTTGCCATATTTTTATGGCTTTAACGACAAAATTTCAAATGTAAAACCTTGATTTTTATGTCAGAATTGGGATTAAACTTATATACTTATTACTAATAATTAGTTTTCATCAAATCCATTGCTTTTTCTATTCTGCACATTGTGTCCTCTCGTAAAAAAAAAACAAGTTTCCTGGTACTATGTCAAAAAGAAAACCAAAGAAATTGACTATTTACTCTTCGAATACATTATTATACTGAGGTAAGGGGTCATTAATGATTGAATTATTAGTATCATTTTAGCTTATCATATTTTTTTTTATTATTGTAGCTGGAATTTCTGCTTGACGAAACAAAGCATATGTAAATGCGCCACGAGAGACTCGGTGTGATATTTTTCTCGGTTACCTTATATTGTATCGAGACCCTCCCTTGCAATATAGTAGTAGGCTAAATGGATGAAGTTGAATGCACATAGCAGCACTAACCACGCACTGAGCTGAATTTTATTAAGTTATAAAGAAATGAGAATATAAGTCAATTTGTAATAATAATGAAATATTTATTACTTACTAAATGACATAAGATCACAAAATTCTAATTTCGTGCCGCTAAGGTGCTCTCGGTCATGTTGACAACCATTAGTGTTCATTTATTGATGAACTCTCCTCTGTGCTAACTAGACTCTATGAATTAAGCACAGTACTAGACTGGCGGCAAGATCCTATCATTTTACAGTGGAAATGGCTAGATGGAACCGTAAGGTCTATTTCTTTTCTCGCACTTCTCGCTTGTGGAACTCTATTCTGGCTTCTTGCCTTCCAGGCAAGTTTGATCTTCAAAATTTAAATGCAATTCCAATTGTTATCTTCTGTCTTCTTAATTCTTGTTATTTTATTGTTCTCATTCCTTAATAATAATTTCTTATATTCTTTCAAAATCGTGTGTTAGTTGCTTTGTTACCTTGCTCGGGGCGAAATAATTTTTTAAAAATGCTATCGTCGAAAGAACTTTCTCAAGGTGTAACATCTGGTAAAATTATTATTTTTATGTGTCGTAGATTTCTTCCTAAGACACAGGAAGAAATGAGGCAAAGAGTGCAAGTACCTGTTCACTAAAAATGTTATCACCGAAGTTAAGCAGCATCGAATATGGTCAATATTTAGATGGGAGACTGCTTGGAAATACCATATGCTGTAAGCTTAAATCTGGTAGATGGAACTGGTTGGCCTGAGAGTGCAGTTCATCGAGAAGAAGGAAAATTTCGACGGAAATATGGTGTAGATAGAGCTCCTTGGTCATAGTGAAGTTAGTCCGTTTAGGAAAAGGAAACCATATCGTGATGCTATAAATTCTAGGTTGGTTTCTGGTACAAGGAAGCCGATCTTATAGAGGAGGGAGGTCTTCTTTAAACTTGCATTTGTATATCTCTTTCCAACACTGGTATCGGATTATTTACACCATTTACATTGTTCGGACTGTTGTCCTCATCTTCGTTGCCATACTTACGAAGTTTCGGTCGTTGTACACTCCGGCCTTCTTCAGGTGAATATGGCAACGAAGATGAGGACAACAGTCCGAAACAATGTAAATAGTATAAATAATTACAATACCTCATCTCAGAAATACAGACGGGTACTGGTATCGGAGTACAACACCTTCTAATTTATCCTATGCCAGAACCCGAAGATTAGGCTTATCAAACATAAACATTTGAAACAAAGGTTTTACAGACCAAAAGAAACCACCTCCAGATCCTCATCTTGTGATCGGGAGTACGAATCAGAAGCTTTGGACAGATGTCATAGCCTCGGATTGCTGCAGTGATTGTATGGTTTAGAATTTAGGAAAATTCAGTAACGGAAGAAGCGGTAATTATGGAAAATTCGGTAACTATGAAATAAATGTCCATTGAAAATTGATTTTAGGGCTGTTCTGGAGTGAGGATTTAGGGGGCTAAGCCCCCTCCCCTATATTTTTAAATAATTGAAAATCGTGGGGTCCAGATAAAACCCCGCCACAACAATATCAGAGGTGTACCTGTAGAAGTGGAGCTCAGGGGGCTAAGCATCCTTCCCCAATATATTTTTAAAAGTATTATTAAGTATGGGGGTCTAGATAAAACGCCACTACAACAATACCTGAGCTGTACTTTCTGCAGGGTCTAGACACCCCCATATGTTTAAATAAATATTAACTAAAAAAAATCTTGGGTTCCAGTCCAGATAAAACCTACTGCAACAATACCAGAATGTACTTTCTGAAGTTGGTGGTGGGTGGGGGGAGCTAAGCCACCCTCCAATATATTTTAATAAATATTTTTTTAATAAGTATTTATTTAATTACTATACTCTATTGTTTTCAAACAAATAAAATCGATTTATCTAAGTTTTAAGATAAGTTCATGTATCTTCTATTCAAATTATTATTTTAATAAAAAAATAGTAAATAAATTAAGTTTTAGATAGTTATTTCTTTTTAACTAAGCAAAAAAATATATGTAGCTTAATTTCTATTTCAAAAATATAGGGAACAGTGCTTAGCCCCCAAATTCCCACCCTGGAACGGCACTAAAATCAGTTTTCAATCGACTTTCATTTCATAGTTAAAGAATTTTCCTACCTTGTCAAAACTACCAAATTTTCCCTTACCGATTTTTTCGAGCACAATGGTTTCGTACAACCAGAAAAAGAAAACTGAACTGAGCAAACTGTTGAAAACTATTTCATGTTAGTGCGCAATCTCCTGCAGTGGCGTAGCTAGAGTAAACGTCACCCGGGGCGGTCCGCTCAAATGTCACCCCAATGACCCCGATTCACCCTATGCTGAATGGTTAGCTGTAGCTAAATTTTCATATATGCTCTACCTCTACTTTACTCTACTGACTGGTATGTTACTGTTTACATGTATGATCCAAGACAAAATCCAATACCACAAAATAATCAGTTCAAATCAAAAGCCAAAAACATTGCTATTTTTCCTACTCACAAATTTCCCGACAATTTATTAGAAAATTTCTGACGGGGGGACAAAACTGGGGGTTCATAATTTATTTCTGGGGGTGGGGGTCATATGCCACCCTGCGAAACCCTGTGTCTCCACCACTGTTTTCAGACTATTTTTGGCACCTTAGCCTGGTTGAAAAATTCTGTTGGGGTGACATTGTGTCACCCCTCCCGTGCTGGCACCCGGGGCGGTCCGCACCATTGCCCCCCCTAGCTACGCCACTGAGGCAGAGATAGCAAAAAGATGATGAAGTCCTGACACCATTTTTTTATTCACTAAATGGCAAACTTCGATTTTCATCCCCGCAAAAAATCGGAGTGTCAATAGGATGGTTTTCCCCATTGATAACGTTTAACTCCCTTTAAAAAGCGATGATTAGAATTTTAATAAAATATGAAAGCAAATTTATATATTTTCTTTATTCTTATAAATATTATATACATAATACTATTTATTAAAATAACATTATTTTTAAAATGACATTATTTATTTATTAGAGCGTTAAGTTACACTATTCATTTCCTATATTGTTTATTGGAATGTTAGCAAAATATCGGTTAATTGCCAATTCATTCGAACTTTATAATATGGTAAATAATAAAGATTTCCTTATAGTTGGTTCACATATTTTAATAATTTAACAAATTTTTATAAATTTACGAATAAGAAATTGTTTTCATATTTATTTCTTTATACATTGGTAAATGATAAATATCGGATTGCATTAGTTTTAATTGTATTAGTTTTTAGAATGTTGTAAATATAAAATTATTCTTGTAAATAAACGATCTAATAAATAAATCGTGTTTAATATTTTTGTTGTAAATTCTCAAGAACAAAAAAAAAATCATTTTCATCATATGTTTAGGTTTTATTTCAATTATAATTATCGCTTTTTACAACTATATACATTGCCGAGAAGTGAAGGTCGTATCCCGGTGTCAAAGGAAAACACGTCACTTTGACACTCCGTTCTTTTTGGGTTTTTTTTGCGTTCACGAAGGTCCATGTTTGCCGACTAAGCTGTAATGCCATTCCTTTTCTCTTTTAGTGACTAACTCTTCTTGGTTGACCCTGTAAACAGAAGAAATCATTTCAAACTATGATATATTTTTTTACTTTTTAAAGTGTTCACTTCGAGCGTCTTCCTTTCATTTATCAAGCAATCTTGTGATGAAAGTAGTTAAGCTACTTGGACTATTTAAATAATAAAAAAAATACATAGTAGGAACTCCGACATGGTATACGGTTTCCGGTCAAAACGACATCTGCTTGTATCATCACCTTACCGGATTCTACGTAAAACATATGTTCCAAACTTCAACAGGATATAATAATAATTATGGGAAATCTGTTGCCTGACGTTCATTTTTTGAGAAAGAAAGATAAGATATATATCATATATCGGGTAGAAGTAGATTGTTAGTAATGTTTACCGAAAATTAATTGCACCATTGTCGGTTGTTTTGTGTCTAGTACTAAGCACTAGCAGTAACATATTTTCAGGCCATTCTTTTAAGATGACCTGCAGAACATTCCGCGACGAAAAGGTTTCTTCTTATTCTTATTCTTTATGTTCCGTGTCTCCTCAGGATGTTGGTGAACAAGGCTCTCCACAACTTCCTGTCTCTTGTAGCTCTTAATAAACTTTGTCTTTCTCCTAACTCCTGTTCCGTCATCCATTTACTCAAGCTCACTACATATGTTATGTGCTGTTTTCCTCTATCGCTCTTGTCCTCTATCTGTCCCGTGAGTATCAGATTTTCCAAACCCTCTTTCCTCATTATGTGCCCCAGAAACTTCAACTTTCTTTTCCTGACGTTAAGTATTAGTTTCCTTTTTGTTTCCATTTTCTCCAGAACTTCGTCGTTGTTCACATGTTCGATCCATGGTATTCTCAGTATTCTTCTGTAGAACCACATTTTTGTTGTCTCCTCTTCATCTTTGAGGAGATCGTTCAGCACTTACTGCCATACAAGAGGACAGATATCACGTGACAGTTTAGTACTCTTTTCCTTGTTTCTAGAGAAATTTTTATATTTCTTAGTACTTTGATTAGCTTTTGGAATGCTTCCTTTGCTATCCCAATACGACTTCGGATTTTTGTGTTACACTTTCCGTCATCTGTTAAAATTTAAATGAAATCGAATTATTGCTTGAATTATTCCAGGGTGTGTTGGGACAAATATTTCCATACTTGCTGTTTTTATCATAACATTTGAACTAATGAGAAAATTTACAATGACCCAAACAACATTCCGCGATAATAAATTTTACTTCATTCATTATTTTCTACCATTTCAACCTAAACAAGGCTTTAAAGCCACTAAGACGCATTAGCATAGTGACAGTGATTGTTTCGTTTTCTACGGCTTATCAACTTTTTGCAGGTTATTTAAAGCCATATTTTTTTAAGATTGTAAGAATTTTTTATAATAATGGTTTAGTGATACAAGTCTTACTAATTAATCCATAGCTAGGGAGAAGTGGTGGATTCATACCTTTCCCAAGGGTATTTACGCGTAAGTGAATGTAACAAAGCCAAGGAGTATTGGAACTCGACTCTCCATATTAACAATTCCGAGTATAATACATTACATCATCCAAGTTTGGAGTACCTGGTATTTCCAAGCGGTCACCCATCTAGGTACTGACTGACCAGGTTCGACGTTGCTTAACTTTTGTGATCGTACGGGAACCGGTGTTTTAATGTGATATGTCTGTAAGTTATATACCTTCATTAGTTATATCACTAAAATGACAATAGAATATCTAGATTAATTTGATCAAACCTTACTTGATGAAATTATTACAAACGATATCGGTATGCTAAATACTATCATTGTTTACGGTGAACCGGTAGATTTAGAGGATATTCCCATATAAAAACAATTTGTTCCTGATTTCAATTGAGTACGTAATTACATTAATTGTCTTTTTGTTTCTAGAAAGAACGTTTATTTTTATCTACAATCAGTGACGTAAACCCCTAAGACTTGAGTAGGTCTCTAGTCTCACTATTTATCCAATCAAAATATTTTCTACCTTTGTCAGATTAATTATTTTTATTATTCCATATATTTTTCTGTTTGTTGTTTTCATGTTTCTTTATAACAATATGTCCATCCGTACATCCTTCGGGTTTGTAGGGCGCATTTTAGGGTCGAACTTATTGTATCAATGAATTGATCAGATAGACTGGCTTGTTACCTATCACGCTACAGCGGCAAATTCTTATTGTGTGAAAAATAAAAAAAATAAAAAAAATCCGACATAAAAAATATAATCAAAAATACATCTGGAGAAGTCCGAAAAATGGAATCGGTCAAAATGTTGTGTTAGAAACAACAAAACCATAAATATACAGAATAATTTAAGCTTTTTTGGGGCATCTATCTATATTTCTGAGATGAGGTATTATGTACACTATTTGCATTATTCGGACTATTGTCTTCATCTTTGTTGCCATATTTATCACAACGTTTCGGCCGTTGTAAGCTCCGGCCTTCATCAGGTGATTGGAATGTCAAACTGAACACTTTATTTCGCTCACTGAGATAGACTGTTCTAGTTCCACGTGCCATATCTAATGAATATCAGTTATCTCCTGTTAATTCCTCTCTCTAATTTCTCCACCGCCTTAATCAGGTATTGAACTCACGCTCGTTTGGGTTCTGTCACTGGATCTAACGCCTTTATCCACTGTGCCATGTATCCTCGAAACCTTGTGATAAATATGGCAACAAAGATGAGAATGATAGTCCGAACAATGTAAATAGTATACTTAATACCTCATCTCAGATATATAGACAGTCTCTAGTCTCACTTATCAAAACACGGATCCACATTCACACCAGCTTGTGGGACTGTAGGGCGCTTGTACAACGAAGTTAACAAAGACAATTTCAAATTTCAAAAACTAACTATTTATTTCACTCTTTCATTGGATGCCCTCCCGATATGGATTCTCGGGCCCGTCGCATACTCTGTCCACCCCCATTCTGCAAGCTACTGTCTACAATGGAATATCAATTTTATTTCTTGAAGAAATGATATGAAGTATCATCTGAATGTATTCTATTAGTATAAGTATCATTTGAATGTGTTGTGGATTCCGAGATGAATTCGATCTTCAAGGAATGACAAACGCAATAATTAAATATAAGAAATAAAATGTATTTACACAATCATACAAAGAGTAATGCTGTTAGTAAGTCCAGGAACGAGGTTAGTAGCAAATACAGATAGATATATACAGTCTCGAAGTAGGACTTCCTTAGAGTCTACGTGCTTGTAACTGACTTCTACAAGAGGTTATCTCACACTATCTCCGTTCGTATATTCTCTCTCTCTCTCTCTCCGTATATCCTCTCTCACTGACTGTTTAACTCTGGGTATTTAACGGCAGCACTCCAAGTAACACTGGTAGAGTCCACTTAGATGAAAAGGGGAGGATCCCATAACACCCCCCTCCTTAGATCCCTTTTTGGGGGGAGTTAGTATTTTTGTCTCTTATGGTTGATGATCTAGATGCGTGTGCAACGGGTTTGTTTGTACCGTTCCGCATCTTGTGTAAAATACACGCACCTACCCCATGTGAGCTCGCGTCACTTGCAATAATGATTTCGAGTTCGGGATCGAAATGTGTCAATGTTAACTCTGAAATTAATTTTTGTATTATTTCCTTGAATGCTTTTTTACAGTCCTCTGTCCAATTCCAATTATGCTCCTTTTTTAGTAACTCATTTAGTGGAGCCCTCAGTTTATACATATTATCAATAAATTCGCCAGAGTTGTTAGCTAGGCCCAGGAAACTGCAGTTCTGCAATATTTTTTGGTTCCGACATATTTTTAATTGCCGATGCCCTCTCTGGGTCCGGTTTCCTGCCATTTTCATTTATTATCTGACCTAAATATTTAATTTCATTTAGGAAAAAAATCACAATTTTCTCCTTTTACTTTGAAGCTGAAGTCTTGAAGTCTTCTAAAAACTTCTTTTATGTGTGATGTGTGCTCTTCAACATTGTCGCTCTTAATTAGAATATCATCCAGATAAGCGGTCGCGAAATTATGGCCCGTCAGCATTGTGTCCATCGTTTGCTGAAAAATTGCAGGTGCAAATTTTATTCCGAATGGTAGTCTGTTGAATTTGTACAACCCTTTGTGCGTATTAATGCAAAGGATTTTCGTACTCTCTTGTACTGGGATTTGTAGATAAGCCTCACTAAGATCTATTTTTGAAAATATCTTACCGCCGTTGAGCTTTGTAAATATCTCCTCTGGGCTCGGAAGTGGGTAATGGTGGTCTTTTATTGTTTTGTTGAGTCCCGTCGAAAAATCGCATACGCGCATTTCTCCTGACTTTTTTTTTTTTTTTTTTTTTTTTTACATAAACCACCGGCGCTACCCACTCACTAAACCCTGTTTTTGATAGAATCCCTGTTTGTTCAAGTCTCTCCAATTCTCTGTCTATTTTTTCTATAGTAGCGAACGGTACATTTCGCTTCTTTTTAAAAATTGGTTGGACGTTTTCTTTTAATTCTATTTTGGCCTTAAATTTGTTGCATCGTCCCAACTCGCTTGAAAATACCTCAGGAAATTGATTATATAATTCCTCCTTCAATTTTATAGTATCTGATGGTTCAACCTCTAACTTTTTGCAAAACGAATGGATAGGTAGGTCCCAACGAGTTTTTTTTCCATGTCTGTAAGTTGATTATCGTGAGGTCGGAACCCGAATCCAGTTGTAATTTAATCTTTTTATTTAAAATTTCCAGTTCCACATATTTCCTTACATTGGTGTTGTCATCGTTATTCATCCTTATAGCTCTTATTCTATTAGTATCTTTTCTATTTCTACATTGGGATGCCTTGTGACCCTTTTTTCCACATTCAAGACAGTTTTTATATCTGAAGCGGCAATCCTTGTTCCAATGTAATCCTCCACATCGATAACATGCTGATGGATATTTATGATATTTGTTTCGATATTCGTCATAATTTGTCCTGTATGTTGTACTTTTTCTCTTATCATAAAATTTTCTTTTTCCATCCGAGAAGGGTGAGAATCTTTTTTCATTGTCGTAAAATTTTAGTTTTCTTTCCGAGGAGGGTGAAGAACGTAGACTTTTGTTTAACTTACGTATATGCGAAACAGCTGATTCTTCAATGTCCTCTGCGTCTTTCTTTATGCTTAAACATCTCTGGCAATCTTCCGATAATTGCTGTAATGTTAGACCCGGTTCATTTTGTAATTTTGCAAGCATTCTTCTACGCATTTCGCTATCTTTTGTAGAAACTAGCCCTTGAACAAAGATGAGACATTTGAAATTGTCCGGGGTTAATTCCGCTAGTTTGAAGTCGTCACAATGTTTATTTACGATTGCGGCAAACGTGGAAAATCCTCATTATCGCCCTTTACCAGGTTAAGGCATTTCCACCTCTTATGGAAGAGTGATGTTTTGGGGCTGAAGAGTGATGTTTTGGGGCTGAAGAGTTCTTTAAGACATGTCACTGCTTCGTCAAATGTTAATTCGTTCGTCATTTTTGGCAAGATATAATCCACGAACTTTGTATATTCTTCAGTTCCTAATTTTCTAAGCAATAGACGTAGCTTTTTTGCTTCTGTCCAATTTTGACAGTCTATGTTAAAGATGTCTTCATGTCTTCTGAAGTAATCTCCAAAATCTGTCCTCATCTAGAGAATATTTGAAAATCTCTATGGTATTCCACACTGCGTCTTGCGAAAATGTTGCTTTTTTTTTTTTCAATATCTAATTGCTTGTTGCCCGCTACTTTCAATATTAGTTCCTGTGGCTCTGTTTGTCTATCTTGATTTTTCTTTTGCGTTCGTAATATTTGCTTTTTGCCATTTTTCTTGTGGCTGTAACTGTTGATCATTTTGTTATTTTTGCATTTGTAATATTTGCTTTTTGCCATTTTTCTTGTAGCTGTAACTGTCGATAATTTTGTTATTTTTGCATTTGTAATTGTTGCTCATTTTGGTGTTTTATCAGTTCTACCAACATATTTTTAAAATCTTCCATGATAACTCAATTTTACGTATTTTTACTCCTCGTAATTGTTTGTCGCTAATTTGTTGTTGGACGACGAGGGAAGGATTTTTCTATTTCTTTTCGTGAGTTCGAATCACTCGAAGCCAATTTGCTTGTTGGACGACGAGGGAATATTTTTCTTTTGTTGATTTTTTTATTTTCCGCGTGGGTTCGAATCTTCGTCGCCAAGTTGTTGTGGATTCCGAGATGAATTTGGTCTCCAAGGAATGACAAACGCAATAATTAAATATAAGAAATAAAATGTATTTACACAATCATACAAAGAGTAATACTGTTAGTAAGTCCAGGAACGAGGTTAGTAGCAAATACAGATACAGTGTAACCCGGATATAAGAGACCCGGATATAAGAGACCCGGATATAAGAGAGATTTTCTCTGGTCCCAAATTAGAGCCTGTGTTAATGTATATAAAATAGACCAAACCCGGATATAAGAGAAACTCGGATATAAGAGACTTCTTCTCCGGTCCCGACAACTCTCTTATATCCGGGTTACACTGTAGATATATACAGTCTCGAAGTAGGACTTCCTTAGAGTCTACGTGCTTGTAACTGACTTCTACAAGAGGTTACCTCACACTATCTCCGTTCGTGTATTTTTTTTTCTCTCTCTCTGGGTATTTAACGGCAGCACTC